AGAGCAGGGAGAGTAGAAGACTAGATTAGAATAGAGAGTGAATATGCAAAATTATATAAGTATGAAGCAAGTTGATTTTGTAAATAAATATTTATTATAACGAATTTCCAAGTTCTACAATTATATAGCAATAAATGGTTATATATAAAAACTCCCTAATTCTGACTTTTCTTTCTATCGTCTATCTGCACTTAACACAAAATCAAGGAGTACTGCGCAAAACTCGAAAAACACCAACGTGATGTACCTGTGCAATTAACTACACAAGTGCCTGCAGAGTTGCTGGCATACGAATGAAGGTTTAGAAACAACTTCGAAAATAACTGCCTGATATGCTCGACTGACTAGAGCTGATTTGACAAAATTACAATCTAAACCTAAGGCTATTACTATGCTAATAGTCATGAGCACCTAGCTTGAATTAGGGGGATAGAAGATAAGACTGGATGATAGGAGAAATAAAAGTATATATAAGTATGAAGCGTAGGAGTTAAGACTGAGAACTTAGAAATGAGATTTAGAGGTAGTTGATAAGACTAAGGTGTAGGAAATGAAACTGAGGGGGAGTAGGTGAGCATGAGGGATTATAGATGAGCTGCAGATAGTAGTAGATGAGACAGAGATATAGAGTAGGTAAACGAGATAAGATAGAGTAGATGAGACTGAGAGATAGAGATAGATAAACTGAGAGATAGATAGTAGTAAGACCAGAGAATAGAGTACGGTGGCTCGAGAGATGGTGATGAGTATGAGACTCGAGAGATAGTAGAGCAATGAGACTGAGAGATAGCGAGTAATAGACTCGAGAGATAGCAAGTAGATGAGACTGAGAAAATAGTAGAATAGATGATACAGAGATAGTAGAGTAGGTAAGACTGAGAGATAGTAGAATAGATGATACAGAGATAGTAGAGTAGATGAAACTGAGAGAGTAGAGTAGGTGAGACTGAGAGATGGTAAGAGAGTGAGACTAGAGATAGTAAGAGATGAACTGAGAGATAGTCAGAGTAGGTAAGACTACGAGATAGTAGAAGTAGATGAGACATAGATAGTAGAGATAACATAGATAGGTAGATGGTCGATGAGACATAGAATAGTAGAGTAGATGAAGACCCATAGATATAGATTAGATGAGACATAAGATAGCTAAGAGTAGAGAGACTGAAATATGTAGAGAAATGAACTGAGAAATAGTAGAGTAGATGAGACAGAGATAGTAGAGTAGGAAGACATAGATATAGAGGGTAGGGCTAAGAGAATGTGGATGAAGTATGAGACATCGAGAATAGTAGATAGTAAGACAGAGATAGAGAGTAGAAAGATGAAGACAGGAGAAGTAAGTAGATGAGACATTAGATAGTAGAGTAGATAGACATAGATAGTAGAGTAGAATGAGACTGAGAGATATAGAGTAGATTGAAGACATAGATAAGTAGAGTAGGTAGACAGAGATAGTAATGGTAGGGCTAAGAGATGTGGAAATGAAGTCAAGAGACTCGAGAGATAGAAGATAACTGAGACTGAGAGATACAGCGTAGTAAGACTGAGAATATAGAGTAGATGAGACTGAGAGATAGTAAAGAGATAGACGTGAGAAATAGTAGAGTAGATGAGACATAGATAGTAGAGAGATGAGACATAGATGTAAAGTAGATAGACATAGATAGTAGTAGTACATGAGCCCTGGAGATATTAGAGTAGCATGAGATGAGAAAAGTAGAGTAGATGAGACTGAGAGATAGAAGTAGGGTAAAAGAGATAGTAGAGTAGTAGGGCAAGAGATGTGTAGTATGAGACTGAGAGATAAGTAGAGTAGAAGACTGAGAGATAGCAGCGTAGGTAAGACGAAGAGATAGTAGAGTAGATGAAGAACCTGAGCGATATAAGAGTAAATGAAGACTGAGAATAGTATGAGTTAATAACTGAGAGATAGTAGAGTAGGTAAGACAGAGATAGTAGAGAGGTAGGGCAAGAGATGGTGATGAGTATGAGAACGGAGAGAATAGTACGAGTAAGATGAGACTGAGAATAGCAGCGTAGGTAAGACTGAAGATAGTAGAGCCAGTTGAAACTGAGAGATAGTAATAGATAAGACAGAAAGATAGTAAGTAAGGTAAGACGAGAAACTTAGTAGAATAGGTAAGAACGCGAAATAGAGGAGAGGAGACTGAAGATAGTAAGAGTAGGTAAGACAGAGAAGAATAGAGTAGTAGGGCTAAGAGATGGGATGAAGTAGAAGACTGTAAGAGATAGTAGAGTGATGAACGAGAGATAGCAGCTAGGTAAGACTGAGAGAAGTAGAGTAATGAGACTGAAGATAGTAGAAAAGCTGAGCACTGAGAGATAGATAGAGTCGATGAACATAGATAGTAGAGTTAGGGTAATAGCAGAGATAGTACGAGTAGTGAACAAGATAGTAGAGTAATGAGACGGAGAGAATAGAGAATAGATAGAGCCCTGAGAGATAGTAAGTAGATGAGACATAGAATAGTAGAGAGTAATGACAGAGATAGTAGAGTAGATGAGACATAGATAGTAAGAGATGAGACATAGATAGTAGAGTAGATAGACAAGATAGTAGAGTAGATAGAGACATAGATAGAGAAGATGAGACACTAGATAGTAAGTAAGATGAGACATAGAAATAGAGTAATAGACAAAGATAAGTAGAGTAGATGAGACTATAAGATATAGAGTGTATGAGACATAGATAGAATGAGAATGAGTGAGTATAGAGCAAACTGAGAGATGTAGATAGAATGAAGAGAAAGAGATAGCGAGCGATTGATGAAACAGATGGGGATAGAAGGGGAGAAAGTTGTGTAAACAGAGGTTAAGGTAGAGAGAGGTGGAGAGCGAGAGAATTAAAGAGCCCGAGAGATGCAAGAGAGCATCAAGAGCGAGAGATGTAGAGAGTAAAGATAGAGAGAGTAGAGATAGAGAGAGTAAGAGTAGAGAGATGTAGAGAGCAAGAGAATGCAGAGAGCAGAGAGGAGTAATAGCAAAGAGATGTAGAGAGCAGAGAGATGCACGAGAGTCAGAGAGTAGAGAGAGTAGCGAGTAAGAGAGAGTAGAGAGCAAGAATGTAGAGAGAGAGAGATGTAGAGAGAAGAGATGCAGAAGAATGTAGAGATAGAGAGTAGAGAGAGGTAGAGATAGAGAGAAGGTGAGAGAAGCCGAGAGATTAGAGAGCAGAGAGATGCAGAGAGATGTAGAAGTAGAGAGTAAGAAGAGAGTAGAGAGTAAGAGAGTGAGAGCCGAAGATGTAGAGAGCAGAGAGATGCAGAGAGATGCAGAGAGCAGAGAGATGTAGAGAGTAAGATAGAGAGAGGTAGAGAGAGAGATAAGTAAGAAGCCAGAGATTAAGAGAGGCAGCAGAGATCAGAGAGCAGAGAGATTAAGAGCAGAGAATGTAGAGAGCAGAGAGATGTAGAGAGCAGAGAGATGTAGAGAGTAGAGAGTAAGAGATGTAGAGAGAGAGAGATGTAAGAGGTAGAGAGTAGAGAGAGGTGAGATAGAGAGACGGTGGAAGCCGAGAGATTAGAGAGCAGAGAGATTGCAGAGAGCAAGAAGATGTAGAGAGACAGAGAGATGTAGAGAAGCAAGAGAGTAGAGAGCAGAGAGATGCAGAGACAGAGAGATGTAAGAAGCAAGAGAGGTAAAGAGCAAGAGAGAGTAAGAGTAAGAGATGTAAGAGCAAGAGAGGAGGAGCAAAGGAGAGATGTAGAAGCAGAGAGATGTAGAAGTAGAGAGTAGAGAATGTAGAAAGTAGAGAGAGCTAGAGACAGAGAGATGCAGAGAGCAAGAGATGTAAGAGCAGAGAGATTAGAGAGTAGAGATAGAGAGAGGTAGAGAATAGAGAGAGGAGAAGAGCAGAGAGATGTAAAGCAGATAGATTAGAGAGATAGAGAGTAGAGAGAATGTAGAAGCTAGAGAGGGTAAAAAGCAGAGGATGCTAGAGAGCAGAGAGATGTAGAAGAGCAGAGAGATGTAGAGAGTAGAGAGAGAGAGAGTAGAGAAGAGAAGAGGTAGAGAGCAGAAGAGATGTAGAGCGCAGAGAATGTAGAGCGTAGAGAGTAGAGAGATGTAGACAGTAGAGAGAGGTAAGAGCATGAGAGATGCAGAGAGCAGTAGAGATGCATAGAGCAAGAGAGATGTAGAGAGCAGAGAGCAGGAGGAGAGATTAGAGACAGAGAGAGGTAGAGAAGAGAGAGAGTAAGAGTAGAGAGCAGAGAGATGCAGAGAGATAGAGAGTAAGAGTAGAGAGAGGTAGAGAGTAGAGAGAGTGGAGAGCCGAGAGATGTAGAAGAGCAAGAGATTGAAGAAGAGATCAAGAAGCAGAGAGAAGTAGAGAGTAGAGAGTAGAGAGAGTAGAGATAGAGAGAGGTAGAGGACCGAGAGATGAGATAGCAAGAATCAGAGAGCAGAGAGATTAGCAGAGCAGAGAGATGTAGAGAGAGAGAGATCAGAGATAGAAGATTGTAGAGAGCAGAGAGATGCAAGAAGAGTAGAGATACGAGATAGAGAGTAGAGAAGGTAGAAGACAGAGAGATGTAGAAGAGCAGAGAGATCAGAAGAGCAGAGAGATGTAGAGAGGGCGAGAGATAGAGAGTAGAGAGTAGAGAAGATGAGAAGAGTAAGAGATTAGAGATAGAGAGTAAGAGAGGTAAGAGTAGAGAGAGTGCCGAGCCGAGAGATAAGAGAGCAGAGAGATGCACAAGCAGAGAGATGTAGAGAGTCAGAGAGATGTAAGGAGGCAGAGAGATGCAGAGAGTAAGAGTAGAGAGAGGTCAGAAGTAGAGAGAGGTAGAGAGCAAGAGAGATGTAGAGAGCAGAGAGATAGAGATAAAGAGTAGCGAGATGTAGAGAGTAGAGAGAGTAGAGACAAGAGATGCAAGAGAGCCGAGAGATGTAGACGAGGCAGAGAGAGTAGAGAGCAGAAGATGCAGAGAGGAGAGGATAGAGAGAGGTAGAGAAGTAGAGAGAGGTAAGAGCAGAGAATGCAGAAGAGCAGAGCAGATGCAGAGAGCAAGAGATTAGAGAGTAGAATAGTAGGAGAGTACGAGAAGGTAGAGAGTAGAAAGAGCGTAGAGAGCAGAAGAGATGCAGAGAGTAGAGAGAGGTAGAGAGTAGAGAGAGTAAGAGAGTAGAGAGAGGTAAGAGGCAAGAGATGCAGAGAGAAGAGAGTAGAGAGAGGTAGGAGTAGAGAGAAGTAGAGAGCAGAAGATCAAGAGAAAGAGGTAGAGAGTAGAGAGAGTAGAGAGTAAGAGAGAGTAGAGAGCCGCAGAGCATGTAGAGAGCAGAGAGATGGCAAGAGAGTCAGAGAGATAGAGACAAGAGATGTAGGAGATTAGAGAAGCAGAGAGAGTAGAGACAAGAGAGGTAGAGAGTAGAGAGCAAGAGATGTAGAGAGCAGAAGAAGCAGAGAGCAGAGAGATGTAGAGAGTCGAAGAGAGAGAGGTAGAGAGTAGAGAGAGGTAAGAGCCAGAGATGTAGAGAGCAGAGAGATTCAGAGAGCAGAGAATGAGAGAGCAGAGAGATGCTGGAGAGAGAGAGATGTAGAGAGAGAGAAGGTAGAGAGTATAGAGAAGTGGAGAGCCGGAGAGATGTAGAGAGAGAGAGATGCAGAAGAGCAGAGAGATGTAAGAGACAGAGAGATGTAGAGAGCTAAGAGAAAGCAGAAGAGTAGAGATAGAGAGAGTAGAGAGTAGAGAGATGTAGAGAGATAGAGAGTAAGAAGATGCAGAGAGTAGAAGAGAAGAGTAAGAGACGTAGAAGCAGAGAGATGTAAGAGCCAGAGAGATGTAGAGAGAGAGAGAGTAGCAGAGTAGAGAGATGCAAGAGAGCAGAGAGATGCATGAGATAGAGAGTAGAGAGACGTAGAGAGCAGAGAGAGGTAGAGAGCCGAGAGATTTAGAGAGCTAGAGAGATGCAGAGAGCAGAGAGATGCAAGAGAGATAGAAGTAGAGAGAGGTAGAGAGTAAAGAGGTAGAGAGCAGGAGATGTATAGAGGCAGATAGATAGAGAGTAGAGAGTCAAAGTAGAGAATGTAGAAGATGTAGAGAGCAGAGAGATGTAGAGAGTAGAGAGTAGAAGAGTAGAGAGTAGAGAGAGGTTAAGAGAAGAGAGGAGACGAGCATGAAGAGGTAGAGAGCAAGAGATGGTATAGAGCAGAGAGATGTAGAGAGTAGAGTAGATGCAAGAGAGAGAGATTCAGAGAGTAGAGAGTAAGAGAGAGTAAGAGAGAGGAGAGGTAGAGAGTAGAGAAGAGGTAAGAGAGGCAGAGAGAGGTAGAGAGCAGAAGAGCATGTAGAGAGACAGAGAGATGTAGAGAGTAAAGAGATGGAAGAGAAGAGCTTAGAGAGATTAGAGAGCAGAGAGATGATAAGATAGAGAGATGCAGAGAGGGCAGAGAGATGCAAGAGTAAGAGAGTAGAGAGAGTAAGAGTCCGAGAAGGTAAGAGAGCAGAGAGATGTAGAAGAATGTAGAGAGTAGAAGATGTAGAAGCAGAGAGATGCGAGAAGTAGACAGTAGAAGAGAGTAGAAGAGCAGAGAGAGGTAAGAGAGGCTAGAGAGATGTAGAGAGCAGCAGAGAGCAGAGAGCAGAGAGATGCAGAGAGATCTAGAAGAGCAGAGAGAAAGAGCAAGAGAGGTAGAGAGCAGAGGAGATTAGAGACAGAGAGATGGTCAGAGAGCAGAGAGATGCAGAGAGTAGAGAGTAAGAGAGAGGTAGAGAGCAGAGAGATTTTAGAGAGTAAGAGTAGAGAGAGAAGAGAGTAGAGAGAGCTAGAAGTAGAGAGCAGAGAGACTAAGAGTAGAGAGTAGAGAGAGTAGAGAGCAGAGAGAGTAAGACAGCAGAAGAGATGTATGAAGAGCAGAGAGAGTAGAGAGAGAAGAGATGCAGAGAGTAAGAGAAGATGTAGAAGATGTAGAAAGCAGAGAGATGAGAGAGTATAGAGATGCAGAGAGCAGAGAGATGCAGAGAGTAAGAGTAGAGAGAGGTAGAAGTAGAGAGAGTAGAGAGCAGAAGATTGTACAGAGCAGAGAGATCTCAGAGAGTAGAGGAGGTAGAGAGCAGAGAGAGTAAGAGTAAAGAGAGAGAGATGTAAGAGTAGAGAGATGTAGAGAGTAGAGAGAGTAGAAGAGTAGAGAAGAGAGACTTGTAAGAGTAGAGCGAGGTAGAGAGCAGAGAGAATGCAAGACAAGAGATTAGAGGTAATAGAGAGAGAGAGTTAAGAGTAGAGAGAAGTAGAGAGCCGAGAGGGTAGAGAAGCCAGAGAGAGGCAGAGAGTAGACGAGATCAGGAGTAGAGAGATGTAGAGAGTAAGAGAGGTAGAGGACGAGAGAGTAGAGAGATGTAGAGAGTAGAGAGAGTAGAGAGCAGAGAGATGCAGAGCATGAGAGTAGTAGAGAGTAGAGAGTAAGATAGAGAGAGGTAAGGATAGAGGAGTAGAGAGTAAAGAGTAGAGAGAGGTAGAGAGTAGAGAGAGTAGAGAGTAAGAAGTAGAGAGTAAGAGAGCAGAGAGAGTAAGAGTAAGAGTAGAGAGTAGAGAGAGTAGAGAGTAGAGAGAGGTAGAGAGTAAAGATAGAGAGAGTAGAGAGTAGAGAGAGGTAGAGAGTAAAGAGTAGAGAGAAGTAAGAGTAGAAAGAGATTCAGAGAGAGAGACGGAGTATAGAGAGGTAACGAGCAGAGAGGATTAGAGAGTAGAAGAGTAGAGAGCAAGAGTGTGAGAGCAGAGAGAGTAGAGAGTAGAGATCAGAGAGAATAGAGGGCAGAGAGAGTAGAGAGTAAGAAAGAGAGAGGTAGAGAGTAAAGATAGAGATAGGTAAGAGTAAAAAGTAAGAGAGGTAGAGAATAAAAATAGAGAGAGGTAAGAGAGAGAATAAGAGAGGAGAGTAATAGAGAGTAGAGAGGCAAGAGACTAGAGAGTAAGAGAGGTAAGGCAGGAGAGATGTAGAAGTAGAAGAGATTAGAGAAGGTAGACGAGATAGTAGAGAGCAGAGAGATGCAGAGAGTAAGAGAGTAGAAGAGCAGAGTAGATTAAAGAGCGGTAAGAGTAAAGAGTAGACAAGCGGTAGAGAGTAAAGAGTAGAAAAGGTAAAGATAGTAAGAGTAGGAAGAGGTAGAGAGTAAAGAGAAGAGAGGTAGAGAGTAAAGAGTAGGAGAGGTCAGGGATAAGAGACGGGAGAGTATAGAGCAGAAGATTTAGAGAGGTAGAGAGTAAAGAGTAGAAAAGAGGTCAGAGAGTAGAGAGTAGAGAGCAGAGAGATGTATAAGCAGAGAGACTGCAAGCAGCCAGAGAGAGCAGAGAGTAGAGAGTAGAGAGAGTAGAGAGCAAAGAGAGATGTAAGAGAAAGCGTAGAGAGAGTAGACGAGTAGAGAGAGGTAGAGAGTAGAGAGCAAGAGATGTTAGAGAGTAGATAGTAATAGAGAGTAGAGAGCAGAGAGAGTAGAGAGCAGAGAGCTGTAGAGAGCAGAGAGATGTAGAGAGTAGAGAGATGCAAGAGAGTAGAGAGATTAGAAAGATTTAGGAGACAGAGAGATGTAGCGAGTAGAGAGATGCAGAGACAGAGAATGCAGAGAGAGAAGTAGAGAAGGTAGCGAGTAGAGAAGGTAGAGAGCAGAAGAGATGTAGAGCAGCAGAGAGATGTAGAGAGTAGAGAGATGAAGAGGGAGAGAGAGATGCTTAGAGAGTAAGAGTTAGAGAGATAGAGAGTAGAGAGATGTAGAGAGTAGCGAAAGAGTAGAGAGTAGAAGAGGAAAGATGTAGAGAGTAGAGAGAGGTAAGAGGCAGAGAGATGCAGAGAGCAAGAGAGGTAGAGAGTAAAGAGTAGAGAGAGAGGTAGGGTAAGAGAGGACGAGCAGAGAGGGGTAAGAGCAGAGAGAATTCAGCGGAGGTAGAGAATGCAGAGAGTACGAGATGTAGAGAGGCAAGAGATGTAGAGAGTAGAGAGTAGAGCGAGTAGAAGTAGAGAGAGGTAGAGAGCAAGAGAGATCTAGAGAGCGAGAGAGATGTAAGAGAGTAGAGAGTAGAGAGTCGAGAGAGTAGAGAGTAGAGAGAGGTAGAGAGTAAAGAGTAAGAGAGTAAGAGTAGAGAGAGGTAGAGAGTAACAGGAGTAAGAAGAGGTAGAGAGCAGAGAGAGGTAGAGAGTAGAGAGTAGAGAGTAGAGAGAGGTAGAGAGTAGAGAGAGGTAGAGAGTAAAGGAGTAGAGAGAGTAGAAATAGAGAGAGGTAGAGAGTAAAGAGTAAGAGAATAGAGAGTAGATAGAGAGATGCAGAGAAGAGTAGAGGTATAGAAGGTAAGAGCAGAGAGATTAGAGAGTAAGAGAGAGGTAGACGAGCAGAGAGATGTAAGAGACAGAGAATAGCTAGCAAGTAGAGAGAAGAAAGTAGACGGCAGAAAGAGTAGAGAGAAAAGATAGAGAGAGGAGAAGAAAGAATAGAGAGAGGTAGAGAGTCAAAAGTAGAGAGAGTAGAGAATAAAAGTAAAGCAGTAGAGAGAGAATAAGAGAGGTAGAGAGTATAGAAAAGGTAGAGAGCAGAAGAGTAGAGGAGATAGAGAGGTTTTTTTTAGAGCAAAAAAAAAAGAAGAAGGATGGTTTTTTTTTAAGAGAGTAGAGATTAGAGAGTAAGAATGTAGAAGAGTAAGCAGTAATAAGAGTAGAAAGAGGAGAGAGTAAAGAGTAAAGAGTAGAGAGAAAGAGTAGGAAGAGCGTAGAGAGTAAAGAGTAGAGAGAGGTAAAGAGTAAAGAGTAGTGGAGAGGTAGGGAGTAAAGAGTAGGAGAGTAGAGAGCAGAGAGATGTAGAGAGGTAAGATAAAGAGTAAAAGAGAGACGAGTAAAGAGAGAAGAGGTAGAAGAGTAAAGAGTAGGAAGAGGTAGAGAGAAAAGTAGAAGAGAGGTAGAAGTAAAGATAGGAAAGAGTAGAAAGTAAAGATAGAGAGAGTAAGAGAGAACAGAGTAGGGAGAGGTAGGGAGTAAAGAGTAGGGAGAGGTAGAGAGTAAAGAGTAGAGAGAGGTAAGAGAGAGAGAGAGAGAGTAAGAGAGCTAAAGTTAGAAGAAGTAAGAGTAGAGAGAGGTAAGATAAAGAGTAGAGAAGGTTAGAGAGTAAAGAGTAGATAGAGGTAAGAGTAAAGAGTAGAGAGCGGGGGGTTTAGAGAGTAAAGAGAAGTGAGGTAGAAGTAGCAGAGAGGTAAGATAAAGCTAAGAGAGAGGGGGGAGTCAAGAGTAGAGAAGTAGAGAGTAAAGAGTAGGGAGACGGTAGGGAG